CACACTCCTGTTGTTATTGACAACTCCCAGGTGCAGATCGTAGAGGAGTGTAAGTTTCTGGGTTTAACTCTGTCTAACCTGAAATGGGTTAAAAACACTGACCGGGTTGTTAAGAAAGCACGTCAGCGGCTCTTCTTTTTGCGGAAACTTAGAGAATTTACCACTAACTCTAAGATTCTGCTTAACTTTTATCGCTGCACCATTGAGAGTTTACTTGTTGGTTCTGTGTCTGTGTGGTTTGGAAACATCACAGATAAAGAAAAGAGAGCTTTAAACAAGGTGCTCCGCTCTGCAAAGAGGACCGTGGGCTGTGAGCTTCCTGTTCTGGAGGTTCTTTATAAATCCAGACTTTTAAACAAAGCTCTTAGGATTGTTAATGACTCTTCTGGCCACCCTGGGAAAGCCATGTTCCAGCTTCTTCCCGCTGGCAGAAGATATCAGTCGCTGAGATGCAAGACATCTCGCTATGCTAACAGCTTCTTTCCACAGGCTGTTAGGTGCCTAAACAGAGCACTTTAATTCCTGCTTTTACCCCTTGTATCGTTTTGTTGATCGGTGCCACAGTGTCAGCTGTTTTTTTTATTTTTTATTCTTTTATATTCAGTGTATGTGTATTTTATATTACATTGTATCGTGCTTTTTATTCTGTCGGTGCACACAGAGTACCTTTTTTTTGCAAATGTATTCCAATGTAGTTTTTATACTGCACATGGCCAATAAATGAATCTGAATCTGAATCTGAATTACAAAAATATCTTTGGTTTGTCTGTGGGACGGAGGATAAACTATGTGTGAAAGTGTCCAAGCGGATCTTCGAGCGGTGCCTCGTGAGCCAACTGTAAAGACGGGGACTCACACGAAGATTGTCAGAGAGTACGATGACTCCTCTGTGCGCATTATTGATATAGACACTAATGAATACAGTAAAATGATATTATGTGTATATAATATTTATATAAATTAGATGTTTTATTTATTTTTTGTCTTAGTTTCTTGTGTTATACATATTTTACAGCAGTGATACAGAAGCAACCACAGCCTCATAGACAAACTGCTTCAGGAAGGGCATCAGGAGTACAGCGTTTTTGGCTTTTATAGTGGAATTTTGTAAAAATTATAATAGTCACTGGTTCAATTTTTTTCCCATTATCCCCAAGTCCATAAATAACATTTCTATGCAGTGTAAAAAGTTGTTTATAGCCTTTCATTGTGTTTTTTCAATACAGTTTTGTGAAATTGATTTTCCGTTTAATTTTTTTCTTTCTCTTCATGATTCCATAGTTTTTATATAATTGATATGACAGCTCTACAATATGAATATTCTAAAACCCCAGGTTGTACTGAAAAAAACAAAGTATACTGCTTGACTCTGCATCAAAAGATGACTGTTTTATGAACAATTATACACAAAGAAAACCAGGCGAGGAAAGTTCCCCAAAATGACCCTGGACCTTGGAGGGTTAAATAAGGTTTTGTTGCCTGTGGTGGAGGACTCACTTCTAGTCCTCTGTGGATTAGGTTGACAGATGTAGGCGGACATGTTGACGTCCAAACCTCACATGAGCCGCTGCTCCGTTCATCCGTGTGTGAATAAAATATGGTGCTAAACTAACGGCATAACAGACTTTTGTCTCCACGCCGCCTCTCTCTCTGCGCTGACAGCTTGTTCAGATATACACTGGTGGATTGTCTCGCTTGGCCTTCTTCTATCCAAATCTGCAGATCAGCATCCCACCAGCCACCGCAGGAACTAGCAACACAAACACTGCTCCGTGTGCAGTGTTTGTGTTGCTCCTTCACGTCTTCACACAAGGGACACAATCTGGGTCAGGACCACAGTGGCCACCTCAGTTTTGACATGTGCGAGAATTGCTTTTCTCACACATCTCACCGTTACAACAGTCTACAGTTACTATGAATGGTTTCAGACACTTCTCCTACAGACTCCAGCCAGTCCACCTATGCACAAGCAACATGTTCAAACACAAGGGGAATGGGCTCCACCGAACAACAGAGGTAGAACCAAGTGATTCTTTTGCAAATCAAAGTATTTTCTTTCAAGTCTTGAGTCAAGTAAAGTCTTTTTTGGACACTCAAAGACGCTCTTAAGTCATGTCCAGATCCTACTGTTTGAATTTACACATGGCTTCCTGTATACATTTGTTTTTACACCTCCATGAGCTGTAGTTTGTATGGGTTTCACAATGTAATTTCTAAATGGCCCCATTCAAGTGAAACAATTTGCACACCTGCAGAAGTGTGAATGTTTCAGGTTAAGAACCCCTCACCTTCAGTCCTTTAGAGCTTCCGGAGCACGCATGTAGGATACACAGTGTGACTCCGGGTCTGGCTCTGTACTGTACAGACATGCAGTAAATTACACTGTGCAATCCATTGGCACCACTGACAGGTCTGGCCCATGAGCTACACTAGGATCTGGAAGGATCATCATCAGATCGGACAAAAGGGATGAATGATTAGATACAATAGAACTGTCAATTATCCTGACCTCAATCTTTTACCCGTTATCTTTCAGTAGTTTACGGAATAAAAGTGTTGGCAATCGGCTTACGGCATCATATCATTAACTCAGGCGAAGCTGGTCTTGTGCTTGAAATATATGAAAAATAATAACTAACCAATTCTGTTCCGCAACGAGACAAACACTGAATTCTAAACATGGATGCTGATTGCACCTTAGACATTCTGAGCTTCATTCAAGGGCAAGTGAAGGGAAGCAGTGATATCAGCACTCACGGTAAATATGGTTTTTAATGCTTTGTCTAGTAAAAGAAATTTGACATTAAATGAATAAAATATTATGTTGTTCTTGCAAAGAAAATGAGCCCCTAATATTCAGTATAGCAGCTTTTTGTATTGAACAAATGTCAGTAAAACCAACATTTCCTTTTACAAACAAATATGTACAAAACATTTGTTTTGTAGCTTCTTTATTCTTCAGGTATTAAAAAATGGATCTATAACACAAGTTGACAGCCAAAAAATGGTCAGGGGTTTCTCAGCTGATTTAGTCTAATGTTGGTGTTCTGAGAATATCACATGCATTCTGCTCTATCAGGTCAAGTGTGTGAGATACAGCCATAGTGTTACGGATTATGTACGTCTACGTTATTATGAATTCTGCTTATCAAATTTGATGGAGTAAATAAAAACTGAATGAGTTTTTGGATACGTCAAGGGTTTCTCAGCTGATGATCCGCAGAAATCAGAAATCCTGACCTGATTGAGCAAAACCAAGGTAATTTCCAAGGGTTTTCTAATTCAGCTGAAAACCCTGGACTATTTTCAACAAATATTTTTTTGTTACCCAGTGTAATGAAAACATATTACATCCCATGATCAAACCATGGACTGAACATACAGCTGTATACGGGACTAGGCACAGGTCCTGTTGCTATGGCAACTATGTCAGCGATAATAAGAACTCAATGCTATTGGTTGTCGGCCAACAAAAAAACTAAATGTTAAGCATTTGTTTTGATACAAAAATGTAAAACCTTGCTATTTTACAAACAGTAAAAAACACATGATTCCAGTGAACTTTTGGTTTGAGAAACATTCTTTTTTTTTTATTTGATTTGGATTTCACTAAACTGAAGCTTTGTAAACATACTCATTGAATTTTACATGAACACAATCAGCTGATTCATGAGAATAAATATAGAACACAGCTACAGGGGGTATATGCCAAAGAAAGACCACCAGCTCAGCCCCCGCTCTGGCCCCTGCTCTGGCCCCTGCTCTGGCTCCTGCTCTGGTCCCTGCTCTGGCCCCTGCTCTGGCCCCTGCTCTGGCTCCTGCTCTGGCTCCTGCTCTGGTCCCTGCTCTGGCCCCTGCTCTGGTCCCTGCTCTGGTCCCTGCTCTGGCCCCTGCTCTGGCCCCTGCTCTGGCCCCTGCTCTGGTCCCTGCTCTGGCCCCTGCTCTGGCCCCTGCTCTGGCTCCTGCTCTGGCTCCTGCTCTGGTCCCTGCTCTGGCCCCTGCTCTGGCCCCTGCTCTGGCCCCTGCTCTGGCTCCTGCTCTGGCCCCTGCTCTGGCCCCTGCTCTGGCCCCTGCTCTGGCCCCTGCTCTGGCCCCTGCTCTGGCCCCTGCTCTGGCCCCTGCTCTGGCCCCTGCTCTGGCTCCTGCTCTGGCCCCTGCTCTGACCCCTGCTCTGACCCCTGCTCTGGCTCCTGCTCTGGCTCCTGCTCTGGTCCCTGCTCTGGCCCCTGCTCTGGCCCCTGCTCTGGTCCCTGCTCTGGCCCCTGCTCTGGCCCCTGCTCTGGTCCCTGCTCTGGCTCCTGCTCTGGCCCCTGCTCTGGCCCCTGCTCTGGCTCCTGCTCTGGCTCCTGCTCTGGTCCCTGCTCTGGCCCCTGCTCTGGCCCCTGCTCTGGCCCCTGCTCTGGCCCCTGCTCTGGCCCCTGCTCTGGCCCCTGCTCTGGTCCCTGCTCTGGCCCCTGCTCTGGCTCCTGCTCTGGCTCCTGCTCTGGCTCCTGCTCTGGTCCCTGCTCTGGCTCCTGCTCTGGTCCCTGCTCTGGCCCCTGCTCTGGCCCCTGCTCTGGCCCCTGCTCTGGCCCCTGCTCTGGCCCCTGCTCTGGTCCCTGCTCTGGCCCCTGCTCTGGCTCCTGCTCTGGCTCCTGCTCTGGCCCCTGCTCTGGCCCCTGCTCTGGCCCCTGCTCTGGCCCCTGCTCTGGCCCCTGCTCTGGCCCCTGCTCTGGCCCCTGCTCTGGTCCCTTACACAGCTCAGAGATCCAACACCAGACCCAGCCATAGAGCACACACAGACTGAAGAACAGTGACACTCAGTGTTTGGGCTTAAAATACCGGGATTTAGCCGTCTCTATGATCCTGGGGTGGATTTTGATATTGATTTGTAAATCCTGTAATGAGCTCCTGTTATGACCCTTTTGGGGAATAACATGAGGCATAGATGGTCTAGCGAGACAACTCACACAAGGTCATACATGTGTGTTTAGTGCAGTCTTCAAAGTCAACAGAGGATCATGAAGGACGGTCAGGTGTCCCACAAAGACACGCCCTCTGTCCCCTGGCGAGTCGCTGGCATCCCACAAAGACACGCCCTCTGTCCCTGGCGAGTCGCTGGCATCCCACAAAGACACGCCCTCTATCCCTGGCGAGTCGCTGGCATCCCACAAAGACACGCCCTCTGTCCCTGGCGAGTCGCTGGCATCCCACAAAGACACGCCCCTCTGTCCCCTGGTGAGTCGCTGGCATATCCCACAAAGACACGCCCTCTGTCCCCTGGCGAGTCGCTGGCATCCCACAAAGACACGCCCTCTGTCCCTGGCGAGTCGCTGGCATCCCACAAAGACACGCCCTCTGTCCCCTGGCGAGTCGCTGGCATCCCACAAAGACACGCCCTCTGTCCCCTGGCGAGTCGCTGGCATCCCACAAAGACACGCCCTCTGTCCCCTGGCGAGTCGCTGGCATCCCACAAAGACACGCCCTCTATCCCTGGCGAGTCGCTGGCATCCCACAAAGACACGCCCTCTGTCCCTGGCGAGTCGCTGGCATCCCACAAAGACACGCCCTCTATCCCTGGCGAGTCGCTGGCATCCCACAAAGACACGCCCTCTGTCCCCTGGCGAGTCGCTGGCATCCCACAAAGACACGCCCTCTATCCCTGGCGAGTCGCTGGCATCCCACAAAGACACGCCCTCTGTCCCTGGCGAGTCGCTGGCATCCCACAAAGACACGCCCTCTATCCCTGGCGAGTCGCTGGCATCCCACAAAGACACGCCCTCTGTCCCCTGGCGAGTCGCTGGCATCCCACAAAGACACGCCCTCTATCCCTGGCGAGTCGCTGGCATCCCACAAAGACACGCCCTCTGTCCCCTGGCGAGTCGCTGGCATCCCACAAAGACACGCCCTCTGTCCCTGGCGAGTCGCTGGCATCCCACAAAGACACGCCCTCTGTCCCCTGGCGAGTCGCTGGCATCCCACAAAGACACGCCCTCTGTCCCCTGGCGAGTCGCTGGCATCCCACAAAGACACGCCCTCTGTCCCCTGGCGAGTCGCTGGCATCCCACAAAGACACGCCCTCTATCCCTGGCGAGTCGCTGGCATCCCACAAAGACACGCCCTCTGTCCCCTGGCGAGTCGCTGGCATCCCACAAAGACACGCCCTCTGTCCCTGGGCGAGTCGCTGGCATCCCACAAAGACACGCCCTCTGTCCCCTGGTGAGTCGCTGGCATCCCACAAAGACACGCCCTCTGTCCCTGGCGAGTCGCTGGCATCCCACAAAGACACGCCCTCTGTCCCCTGGCGAGTCGCTGGCATCCCACAAAGACACGCCCTCTGTCCCCTGGCGAGTCGCTGGCATCCCACAAAGACACGCCCTCTGTCCCCTGGCGAGTCGCTGGCATCCCACAAAGACACGCCCTCTGTCCCCTGGCGAGTCGCTGGCATCCCACAAAGACACGCCCTCTATCCCTGGCGAGTCGCTGGCATCCCACAAAGACACGCCCTCTGTCCCCTGGCGAGTCGCTGGCATCCCACAAAGACACGCCCTCTGTCCCTGGCGAGTCGCTGGCATCCCACAAAGACACGCCCTCTGTCCCCTGGGAGTCGCTGGCATCCCACAAAGACACGCCCTCTGTCCCCTGGCGAGTCGCTGGCATCCCACAAAGACACGCCCTCTGTCCCCTGGCGAGTCGCTGGCATCCCACAAAGACACGCCCTCTGTCCCTGGCGAGTCGCTGGCATCCCACAAAGACACGCCCTCTGTCCCCTGGCGAGTCGCTGGCATCCCACAAAGACACGCCCTCTGTCCCCTGGTGAGTCGCTGGCATCCCACAAAGACACGCCCTCTGTCCCTGGCGAGTCGCTGGCATCCCACAAAGACACGCCCTCTGTCCCCTGGCGAGTCGCTGGCATCCCACAAAGACACGCCCTCTGTCCCCTGGCGAGTCGCTGGCATCCCACAAAGACACGCCCTCTGTCCCCTGGCGAGTCGCTGGCATCCCACAAAGACACGCCCTCTGTCCCCTGGCGAGTCGCTGGCATCCCACAAAGACACGCCCTCTGTCCCCTGGCGAGTCGCTGGCATCCCACAAAGACACGCCCTCTGTCCCCTGGCGAGTCGCTGGCATCCCACAAAGACACGCCCTCTGTCCCCTGGCGAGTCGCTGGCATCCCACAAAGACACGCCCTCTGTCCCCTGGCGAGTCGCTGGCATCCCACAAAGACACGCCCTCTGTCCCCTGGCGAGTCGCTGGCATCCCACAAAGACACGCCCTCTGTCCCCTGGCGAGTCGCTGGCATCCCACAAAGACACGCCCTCTGTCCCCTGGCGAGTCGCTGGCATCCCACAAAGACACGCCCTCTGTCCCTGGCGAGTCGCTGGCATCCCACAAAGACACGCCCTCTGTCCCTGGCGAGTCGCTGGCATCCCACAAAGACACGCCCTCTGTCCCCTGGCGAGTCGCTGGCATCCCACAAAGACACGCCCTCTGTCCCTGGCGAGTCGCTGGCATCCCACAAAGACACGCCCTCTGTCCCCTGGCGAGTCGCTGGCATCCCACAAAGACACACCCTCTGTCCCCTGGCGAGTCGCTGGCATCCCACAAAGACACGCCCTCTGTCCCCTGGCGAGTCGCTGGCATCCCACAAAGACACGCCCTCTGTCCCCTGGCGAGTCGCTGGCATCCCACAAAGACACGCCCTCTGTCCCCTGGCGAGTCGCTGGCATCCCACAAAGACACGCCCTCTGTCCCCTGGCGAGTCGCTGGCATCCCACAAAGACACGCCCTCTATCCCTGGCGAGTCGCTGGCATCCCACAAAGACACGCCCTCTGTCCCCTGGCGAGTCGCTGGCATCCCACAAAGACACGCCCTCTGTCCCCTGGCGAGTCGCTGGCATCCCACAAAGACACGCCCTCTGTCCCCTGGCGAGTCGCTGGCATCCCACAAAGACACGCCCTCTGTCCCCTGGCGAGTCGCTGGCATCCCACAAAGACACGCCCTCTGTCCCCTGGCGAGTCGCTGGCATCCCACAAAGACACGCCCTCTGTCCCCTGGCGAGTCGCTGGCATCCCACAAAGACACGCCCTCTATCCCTGGCGAGTCGCTGGCATCCCACAAAGACACGCCCTCTGTCCCCTGGCGAGTCGCTGGCATCCCACAAAGACACGCCCTCTGTCCCTGGCGAGTCGCTGGCATCCCACAAAGACACGCCCTCTGTCCCCTGGCGAGTCGCTGGCATCCCACAAAGACACGCCCTCTGTCCCCTGGCGAGTCGCTGGCATCCCACAAAGACACGCCCTCTGTCCCCTGGCGAGTCGCTGGCATCCCACAAAGACACGCCCTCTGTCCCTGGCGAGTCGCTGGCATCCCACAAAGACACGCCCTCTGTCCCCTGGCGAGTCGCTGGCATCCCACAAAGACACGCCCTCTATCCCTGGCGAGTCGCTGGCATCCCACAAAGACACGCCCTCTATCCCTGGCGAGTCGCTGGCATCCCACAAAGACACGCCCTCTGTCCCTGGCGAGTCGCTGGCATCCCACAAAGACACGCCCTCTGTCCCCTGGTGAGTCGCTGGCATCCCACAAAGACACGCCCTCTGTCCCCTGGCGAGTCGCTGGCATCCCACAAAGACACGCCCTCTGTCCCCTGGCGAGTCGCTGGCATCCCACAAAGACACGCCCTCTGTCCCCTGGCGAGTCGCTGGCATCCCACAAAGACACGCCCTCTGTCCCCTGGCGAGTCGCTGGCATCCCACAAAGACACGCCCTCTGTCCCCTGGCGAGTCGCTGGCATCCCACAAAGACACGCCCTCTGTCCCCTGGCGAGTCGCTGGCATCCCACAAAGACACGCCCTCTATCCCTGGCGAGTCGCTGGCATCCCACAAAGACACGCCCTCTGTCCCCTGGCGAGTCGCTGGCATCCCACAAAGACACGCCCTCTGTCCCCTGGCGAGTCGCTGGCATCCCACAAAGACACGCCCTCTGTCCCCTGGCGAGTCGCTGGCATCCCACAAAGACACGCCCTCTGTCCCCTGGCGAGTCGCTGGCATCCCACAAAGACACGCCCTCTGTCCCTGGCGAGTCGCTGGCATCCCACAAAGACACGCCCTCTGTCCCCTGGCGAGTCGCTGGTATCGCTCACTACACAAACTGCTGTATCAATATAAATGAGGCTATAATATTAATGCTAAAACTATTGGATTTCAACACATTTTCTACCACCTTTAGATTCAATAATGTGTTAAAGTTCTCCAATGTAAACTTAAATAACATGCATTCATGAAAAATAAGTTTTAGGAATTTCTCTGTTCAAATGGCGTTCTTGCACACCAATCAAGATACCAGAATTTATAGAACATAGAATTTATAGATTTATAGAATTTATAAAGTGATATCTTTATAGCACCAAGAAAGACATGTCTTTATAAAACAGGTCTGCTCCAGGACTAAGTGAGTTCATCTGTGGAGACGTGAAACCAGCAAAAGGTGCACCATGCACTTGGAACTGAAGTGTGAACACAGCCTGAGAACCATAGTTTTGGCCTCTGATTTTCTCATTTACTCTAATTATAAGTGGGAGCAGTCTGTAAAAACATACAGATGGGCCTCAGCAGGTTTAGTAAATAACACACTGTAGAAGAATATCCACACTTCCCCTTTCACAGCCGAGGAACGTTTAGCTGAATATCTTTGTTGTATTTTGATGGTTATATTCTATCTATTTTCATTTAAATATTAAGGATGGAGTCAGAATAATGTCCTACTGTGTTGTGACATTAGAGGTGGCAAAAGTTCTAGTCTTAGGAAGTGAACTACTGACAACAAAACAAAAACTGATCAGCTCTAGTACTTCACGGCTAAACGGTCCTGGGTTTTATTCCAATTTGCATGTTCTTCCTGTGTCTGGTAAACCCCCTAGCCTCGTCGTACCACACCAAAGTAAAAATGACATTTCATACTAAGGTCTGAATTGTCTCCATTGACTCCGTGAACAGGTGGGAGGGGCTAACTCCTTTTGCAGATTGAAACAGATCTGAGTTTACTGTGACGTATGTAATGAGCTCGAGTCTGTTGTTAGCATTTAGCATTTAGCCTAGCTTTAGCCATCTCCTTTGCAGCTAACGGAGCCCGTGGGGAGCAGCGCCACAATTTTTTGCATTTTTCACCATTGCCAAACTACGACCTTCCCGTTCGACGCAAACTCTTGACATCACCCACAACTAACTCCAACACCTGCCTCCCGCGCTGGCTGAATGTTTTACTTTTTTTTCTGTACTTTTAATGTTGTTTTATGTTCTCTGTCTGTACTTGTGCACACTGGGGGCTAATGAATTCCAATGTGGTTTTACTGCAAATGGCAAATAAAATGAATCTGAATCTGATTGGTCGGTCGAAATTAAACCGATTGTATTCGCTAACCCAGGGACCAGACCCAGACGTTACATGCAGTGAGATGATGATTGAACGGAGAGTACGGATGGATAAGACCAGGGTAGTAATCCCCCACAGCCCTGGTCCAGCCCTGGTCTTGCCCAAGCCCCAGGCCCTGTACTCTGGAGACCACTGCCCCTGACAGAGCCGCTAGAGGCATTGCAGCACTATAAAGTAAGACTTAACTTAAATACTTAAATTAAGTAAAACTATTTCATTATTTGCCACCTCTGGTTTTAAAGAACGTGATTTGACAGAATAAATTCCCCAAACTAAATTTGAGGCAGAACTTTAGTTTTAAAAGACAACGTCAGAGAATGAGGAATTGTCACAGTGTTCGCTGAAAAAAACTTAAAGCTGCACTAACTGACTTTATTTTTGTATTAATTACTAAAATGCTATCCATGTCCATGCAGTGCATTGGGATATACGTCCTTTTGAAGAAAAAGTAGTGCAGATTTGTGCTGGCGTGACATTATATTTTCGATCGAGTTTTGATGAAACAAAGAAGAGAATGTGTTTCAGGTCGCAGATTGTGACCAATCACAGCGGACCACTGACCCCCACTTTCGTGAGAAATCTACAGGTCTGTTAGCATAGACGGCTGAGTTAGCACAACAAGCGGCGGAGCTAACCTGAAACTTTGTGTGTCTTCGTCACCGGTTACTGCTTACTCAGCGAGACAGCCATCCAAAAGAAAGTCTCGTTCCTCTGCTCTTCCCGGTTCTATCGTTCTATGGTCACGCCATCCACGTGCAAATCCATATCCATGTATTATCCATATTGGGAGACACTAGCTCCGTCCCAACAGTGAGTGTGTGTGTGGGGGGCGATAGCTTCGTGGGTGCGGGGAGGGGAGCAGAAAGAGAGAGGCCAGAGAGTCCGCGGCTTCAAAATCCCAAAGTCAGTTAGTGCAGCTTTAAAACCTTTTTTGATCAGGAAACAATGTTGTGACATGAAACATAACTAAAAAAGATAGTCTTTAAATGAAAACAGAGTTGAGCAGCACAGACCGACTTTTCAAACGGCGTTTTTCATCGGCAGCGAATGCTCCGGGACGCAGTGTGTCTGGGGTTAATGCTTTGGCCGGAGGAGCTGACTCTACAGATGTGCTTTTATCCCACAACCCGAGCATCAGCGAATAAACAACAAACATTTCAAAAATACTTACATTATTTACTTTGTACATTATTGCTTTTGTACACTGAACAAAAACAGAAACAACAGATGTTTTACTGGAGAGAGTTTGTTCAGTTCTGTGGAAAAGTCATCATAACCTTTGCTACATGTTTCCTACAGAGAAACACTCTGTGGCCCGCTGCACATGGCTCTATAAACTCTATACTGCTATAAACAGTGTTTGAACTGAAGGTGTGCGGATCATAAAGAGAACACAGGGATTTACAGGGGAATGGTTTAGGTCTCCACCTTTTTCCATTCAAGAGCTACTTGTATAAAACAGAAATGAGCTACTTATTTTATCCGTCTTAATACAATTGTAATCTAATGTTATACATTAGTTTAAAGCTAATTTCAGAGAAAACAACCATATAACTTAATTTATTCAAAACAATGAACCCACACAATAATTGGTCAAGTAAGGAAGCCAAAACAATGGTGGACTTTTGGTCCAATTTTGGTTCAATCCGTTTGTTCAAAAATGGTCTAAATAATTAAACAATAAAGACAATAATCAGATGAGTTATTTACAAACTTTCCACAAAGACAATTATGGAGATCTTGGTTTAACCTTAAAGCCTAAAAACCAAATGTGTTTCACACACTGAATCCTCCCGGAAATTGAAGAGAGTCAAGTCAGAGCCAAAATCAGAATGATCTGAGGTCTCTCAGTGAGCGGAGGATGAACGTGAGACCGACCAACCTATGGCCATGAGCTTTGGGAATGGACCAAAAGTCTGAGATTGTAGATCGGTCCACATGAGTTTTTCCTGTAGAGTGGTGGGGCCCACCTTTTATAGTTAGGGTGCTCAGGCACAGAGTAGAGCTCGGAGTAGAGCTCCTGCTCGTCAGGAGGAGAGAGGCATGTATTTGGAGTGACTCTGATCTCTCATTGAATTTGCATGCAATGGGAATGAGGCTAATAATTTGCATTACATTGTTCATTTGCTTGATCAGTTCTGTTGGAAACGTACAATATGTTAATGTGTCAGCAGTGTTTCTATGTTTGGGGTTGTGAACAGATGAGCTTGGTAAATGGAGCAGTAGCCCAGAGGTAACCCAGCAGGTATGAGCTCCTCTAAAATCAAGAGAAGTCTGAGAGCAATCTGAGATGCATGTGGGGACGCATTTAGACGACGCATTAACTCTGACGCCGAGGTGATCGCACAGGCTTGAAAACACCATTACCTGGAATTACTACACGGCAAATGTTTATGTGCGCAGATTTGATAGAGGTAATAATACTGGTATTATTGATTCTTATGATACTCATGTTAGAGAAAAGAACAGAGCACTGTTCAGAAGATGTCTAACATTCTGACCATTGTCTTCCTCAGGAAGTGCCCCGTACTGTAGCTGAAAAAGACAACTCAAGCAATGGCTGAAATCCCACCACTCATCCTTCTCATCCTTGGATCATACTGTCTGCATTTGTAACTTGTTTCTGTGCCTGCAGCGGCTCTGCTTGAAAATGAGCTTTGTAGCTGGCTTATTTACATTTCATCTTCATTAACGTCCATTGTCCCTATCAAATAAACCTTTTTTTCATCTTCCAGTTGGGATCTCAGTCCAGTCAAAGTGTAACCTTTCACTGGACCTTTCACACAATAGAATATTTATCATACAGCAGTGAATCAAGGTGGGTTGTATCGCTTTAAGCCCTGCACAGCTTATAGTAGCCTCATTCCCACCGCGCAAAAAACTTCAGTGTGAACAGCTCGGACAAAGTATAGCAATAATTACATTATCTTTTGGACATAAATAAAGGCTGTTGTTGTTTAGCCTGTTGCTTGTATGTGTGTTATGAAACTACACATGTTTGAGTCGGCCACAAGGACCCGCGCTGCCCTGGACTATGAAGAAAAGCTGACTCTGAATGTGTGGGGAGAGGACAGAATGAAATGTAATAATCCTGACCAAAGGAACCCCATATTTGCATTTAACAGTTGTTTGATTTTATCTTTTGGAGTGAAACCAGTTTGGAGGCAGAACCTTATTCGATTTTCCCAAAACGTCACGTGGAAAGTCCTGAGAATCCATCTGAATTTGAAAGATAAACAGTGTCTTGCAATAGTGAAAATACACTTTGAACTCTTGCACATTTTGTCACGTTACAGCCACAGACAAAAATATGTTTTTAATTATTTATCAAAACAGTACATGTGGAATCCCCAGCTTCAGCAGCTTTTCTTCCAAGATGCTCCAGAGTTTTTTTCTCCATCAACTCTGACACTTCCCTATCCCTGCTGAAGAAAAGCATCCCCAGAGCATGATGCTGCCACGTCCATTAGTGACAGTAATATACCAACCTCCTGATCCCTGCACCGAGATTCTTATCATGTTTAATTGTTTTGGATTGGGAAAACAAAACCATAACTGGAGATTTATTGACAGCAATGACAGCCTAAATAAAACAGACCCAGAATGTTGAGCCACTCACGTTCATTATCACCACTTGGATATTGTCCTGACATATAGGAGTGAGGTTCCCAATATTAATTGCAAACCCACAACTAGAACACTTCTCAATCCCTTTCAATCTCACTCTAAAAGACGCTTGTGTGCCAAGGGTCTAAACTGTAAATGTAAAGAACTGTAAATGATAAATCTCCAATTTCAAAGAACTAATACAGCCAATGTTAAATACCATTCCAGGTGATCCTGCTCAGCATCAGTCCCACGGTCATCAACCAAACAACACTATGGAGTCCTTAAAGTCTGCATTGGATACAGCAGCTCCCATAAAACACATAGAAGTAATGTCTGTGGTTGTATTCTCTAAAACTTACACTTGCATTTTAGACCCACTTCCAGCTACGCTCTTCCCCAGCCCACACTGGTAGACTGCACCCCCTTCCCACCTGGTAGACTGCACCCCCTTCCCACCTGGTAGACTGCACCCCCTTCCCACCTGGTAGACTGCACCCCCTTCCCACCTGGTAGACTGCACCCCCTTCCCACCTGGTAGACTGCACCCCCTTCCCACCTGGTAGACTGCACCCCCTTCCCACCTGGTAGACTGCACCCCCTTCCCACCTGGTAGACTGCACCCCCTTCCCACCTGGTAGACTGCACCCCCTTCCCACCTGGTAGACTGCACCCCCTTCCCACCTGGTAGACTGCACTCCCTTCCCACCTGGTAGACTGCACCCCCTTCCCACCTGGTAGACTGCACCCCCTTCCCACCTGGTAGACTGCACTCCCTTCCCACCTGGTAGACTGCACCCCCTTCCCACCTGGTAGACTGCACTCCCTTCCCACCTGGTAGACTGCACCCCCTTCCCACCTGGTAGACTGCACTCCCTTCCCACCTGGTAGACTGCACCCCCTTCCCACCTGGTAGACTGCACCCCCTTCCCACCTGGTAGACTGCACCCCCTTCCCACCTGGTAGACTGCACCCCCTTCCCACCTGGTAGACTGCACCCCCTTCCCACCTGGTAGACTGCACCCCCTTCCCACCTGGTAGACTGCACCCCCTTCCCACCTGGTAGACTGCACCCCCTTCCCACCTGGTAGACTGCACTCCCTTCCCACCTGGTAGACTGCACCCCCTTCCCACCTGGTAGACTGCACCCCCTTCCCAGCTGGTAGACTGCACTCCCTTCCCACCTGGTAGACTGCACTCCCTTCCCACCTGGTAGACTGCACTCCCTTCCCACCTGGTAGACTGCACCCCCTTCCCACCTGGTAGACTGCACTCCCTTCCCACCTGGTAGACTGCACCCCCTTCCCACCTGGTAGACTGCACTCCCTTCCCACCTGGTAGACTGCACCCCCTTCCCACCTGGTAGACTGCACCCCTTCCCACCTGGTAGACTGCACTCCCTTCCCACCTGGTAGACTGCACCCCCTTCCCACCTGGTAGACTGCACCCCTTCCCACCTGGTAGACTGCACTCCCTTCCCACCTGGTAGACTGCACCCCCTTCCCACCTGGTAGACTGCACTCCCTTCCCACCTGGTAGACTGCACCCCTTCCCACCTGGTAGACTGCACTCCCTTCCCACCTGGTAGACTGCACTCCCTTCCCACCTGGTAGACTGCACCCCCTTCCCACCTGGTAGACTGCACCCCCTTCCCACCTGGTAGACTGCACTCCCTTCCCACCTGGTAGACTGCACCCCCTTCCCACCTGGTAGACTGCACCCCTTCCCACCTGGTAGACTGCACTCCCTTCCCACCTGGTAGACTGCACCCCCTTCCCACCTGGTAGACTGCACCCCCTTCCCACCTGGTAGACTGCACCCCCTTCCCACCTGGTAGACTGCACTCCCTTCCCACCTGGTAGACTGCACCCCCTTCCCACCTGGTAGACTGCACCCCTTCCCACCTGGTAGACTGCACTCCCTTCCCACCTGGTAGACTGCACCCCCTTCCCACCTGGTAGACTGCACCCCTTCCCACCTGGTAGACTGCACTCCCTTCCCACCTGGTAGACTGCACCCCCTTCCCACCTGGTAGACTGCACTCCCTTCCCACCTGGTAGACTGCACCCCTTCCCACCTGGTAGACTGCACTCCCTTCCCACCTGGTAGACTGCACTCCCTTCCCACCTGGTAGACTGCACCCCCTTCCCACCTGGTAGACTGCACCCCCTTCCCACCTGGTAGCCTCTTCAGTCCTGCACCTCATCAACAGCCTGAGACCTGGATCTACAGCCTGCCTCCCCAAGGTTTCTCACTTTTTCCCAACCTTTTTCTTATTGTATTTCCTGACAACTAAAGTCCTCAGAGATGACTGCTTTATCTATTTAGGGCATTACAAAAATGTCTTGAATGGGGTTGAAAATAGTCATCGCTGCAACGTGACAAAAATAAGTATTAATACTTTTACAAGGCACAAAATATCTACTTTTCTGCATAGTGGAGAAAGAACCAATTCTTTAGATAATTCTGTGTGATTGTGTGAAAGAGCCAATAGCCCCTTCAGCGTGTCCTGGATCTTCCCGCGATGAAATAATAAAAACAAAACACCTTTAACATGATAAAAAGCTGTGTAAAAGCCATGGAGCAAATTGAATTAGTTTAGAAGATGAAGTCAAAATAGATATTACTTTATCAACCAATGAACAACAACTCAGCTAAGACGTAACAAACTTGTGCCCTAATAAACAACACAGCCTTTGAAGTGTCCAATACTCTCCAGGACCGACTCCTCTCTGAGTGAACGCCAGGGACACGTCAGGCTATGATCTCCCCCCCAACACAATCGCGGTTCTGTTTGTTAAGGAAGTTGAGGAGTCCCACTGTCTCTGCCTCCGTGCCCCACCCCAAAAACTCCTCCTCGTCTTCGTCCTCGCTGTTCTCAGAGTCCGACTCATATTCAGACGCGATTCCAGACTCCCGGAAGTGGCCAAAGTTCGCCCAGCTCAGCGTCTGGGCCTCTTGAGTGTCTCTGTGGTACGGAGGCAGTTTGAGTGTGGTGGGCCTACCTAACGGACTGGCCGCTGTCCCGTTGGAAGAGGAGGACGAGGAGAAGGCGTGGCTCAGGCTCAGGGGGGGCGTGGTCACCTCCGGTTTGGGGGTGGACGGGTCGCAGAGGACGGGGGGGATGGTGGAGCGGAAGGTGATCTCCAGCAGACTGTCCTGGGACCCCACTGTGGACAGGGAGAACAGGGCATTAGGGTTTTACATAAAAAATAGATGTTAATTTATTTATCTTCATTTGCCTTTTGAACAATATAACAAGACTATTGACTGTGGGCTTGGGATAATCAAGTTTGTTCTGTTGATTTGTGTTGTTCATGCCATCCATCCATCAATGTAACTTCTTATGCTTTCAGGATGCCGGATTGAGGGACCCAGACTTCCCTATCCACACACACTTCCACTCCGAGCTCCTCCCGTGTGACTGAGCTCCTCACCCGATCTGTAAGGGACGCCCAGCCACTCTGCGGAGGAAGCTCATTTCAACCATTATATCTGCAATCTCGTTTTTTCGGTCAATACTCAAAGCTCATGACCACAGGTGAGGGTGGAAACGTAGATTGACCGCTATGTCAAGGACTTTGCCTTTTGATTCAGCTCCCTCTTCACCAAAATAGTTTGATTTTTGTTCTTGTCTTGAAATAAACATATTGATTGATTGATATTTGCAGAATCTCCCTTCAGACAACAAATATGGACTGCGTGTGTCTATTTATCTTAAACGTGATGTTGAGAATACTTGTTTTCATTAAAAACATTTGGGAAAAAATTATGCATGGAATAAGAGATGATGAAATACATGACGCTCCTGTAATTTGACAGATGAAAACCCCAAAACAATTAGCAGAAAAAAACATTTCTGTCAACATTTCATAGTCTTGAGTTTGAAAACAAAGTTCCTCCAGAATGTCCTCTGAAACAAGCTGATTGATCTCATGTTTGTGTGTTTGAGAGAGATCTGGGCTCATAGCGTGTCCTCCGTTCAGACTCCTGGAGACTCCCTGATGCACCTGTCTGCTCACGTTTGGATGTGATGTTAAAAATGGACTGGTGTGTAAATAGAGGACAGAGATGGAAGGAGAATCCCACAGTGAGATACTCCGGAGCTACAGCAGCAGAATACAGATCAGCAGAACAGTGAGTCATCAGTAAGTGTTTATGAACACACAGGTGCTCACACTCAGCATGGAAGACTGGGGTTGACAGCCAGAAGAGCATGTTTTAAGGCCACCAAAATCACTGATTGCTATTGTAATTAAAATAAAGCCAGAAACGCATGCAGACGTCTAAGAAGCAATGCTGTCGGCCACCACTAGGGGCACTAGTGCTGTGTGAAATGGACTGTGAAACAGTTTATGCAGAGTGACTGTGTGGATTACATCTACACTATAACTATAACTCTACAGCAGGGTGCTGTTGTGCTCGCAAAAAGAGTGAAGTACTGGAGACATGGTCATGACAAGGTGCGGGGACAAATACACATGAATAGGTATGGGAAAAATGAGTAAGTAAAGTTTATTTATATAGCACATTTACAGACCAAGGTCACCCAAAGTGCTTTACAATGTTCAGAGTTCAGCTATTTTCCATTCTCTCCATATGGTCATGACGGAAGCGAGACGCACAGGCCCCAACCAACACCATCCATTCACTCATTACATTCATACCGTACATGTTTTTAGTGATGGGGGACACTGGAGCACCCGGAGGAAACCTACACAGATTGAGAACATGCAAACTTCACACAGAAAGGCCTAGAGTTGGAATCGTACCCAGGACCTTCTGTGTGTGTGTGCATATGAGGAGGTGCAGTGGGTTAACAGGTCTGGGAGAGGCGGAGGCTGTAGTTGAGGTTATTGGGAGAGAAGCTTGTTGCAAGTGCGTGTCTTCGCGTAACTTGTGCACACAATAAATACGCCACTGCAAGAAACAGAGCTGGATTATGTCTTCCCCGTGTCTTTTCCTGAAACACTGAAACTACTGAAATGGAAAACCTACATCAATAATGCATGTTGGTTATGCCCAAAAGTAAAATGTTGTAAAAGAAATTAAACAGAACAAACCTCAACAAGCTTTTTTTTTTTTTTTTTTTGCATACTCACTTTTTGGGATGGATTATCTGAGCCAATCTAAAGATGTAAGGGGGGGCAAGACATTATAAACAAATATGATATCTTGTGTATGCCCCTACTTTCATTTTGCCTGAAATGGGGAACCCTGAAAATACCACTCGTACTGACTGGACAGACTGAAATCTTGATGCAATGTTACATCTACCTTATACATATAAAAGCCATCCAATGATGAAGTACATATAAAACTTTATAAAACAGTTCAAACTTTGAGTCTATAACAGTAGATGCAAATGTGTCCAGCTGAACGTGGTCTCATTGTTATGCAGAGTTGCAGTGCAGAGGAATAATTTGTGAAATAATCATTTTCACTGAAGGCGATTAGTGTGATGCATCAACCCTAATCAATCATGGGACGGTGTAATGCAAGTGTGGGAGCACTGCTTTGGCGACACAGCAGCTCTTTCAGTGGGTTTCATCATCTGCTCTGGCTTTGGAACGACTCGCTGGAGCAAAATGCACAAGCAAATAATATTCATCCAGCATGTACAGGATTACAACAACGTTTCCAAAATTGTCCCTCTCTCCTGACTTGTTTTGTTTTGAGTGGCATGTGTCCTGGGAATCCTTCATCACTAAAGTGTATAGAGTGTATATCTCTGCGTTGTTATCTGGGGTCTTGTTATTTCAGATTTGGAAAGAGCCAGAGCTCGTGGGGGACGTTGTGCGATATCGATTACACTCCTACCTCTGCATCACACTTGTCACACCAGACCAGGTGAGGAGAGAGCTCAAGCGACTGAAGCAGAGGAAATCCACAGGACCGACCACAGTACGTGCAGCTGTGAGTCTGAGGTGGTCGTCTGCAGCACTGGGGCCCCTCAGGGCACTGTCCTCTCACCGTTTCTCTTCACCATCTACACCTCAGACTTCACACACGACACACACAGCTGTCACCTGCAGAAGTTCTCCGACGACTCCGCCATCGTGGGCTGTGTGTCTGAGGGGAACAAACTGGAATATCGGTCGGTTATCAAGGACTTTGTCGACTGGTGTGAGCGCAACCACTTGTGCTTGAACACCAGTAAGACCAAGGAGATGATCATCGACTTCAGGAGAAAACCACTTTCCCACACGCTGCTGAACATCCAGGGGGAGGACATTGAGCTGGTGGACAGCTTCAAGTACCTGGGTGTTCACATTAACAATAAACTGGACTGGTCCATAATACAAACGCCCTGCACAAGAAGGGCCAAAGTCGCCTCTTCCTTCTGAGGAGGCTGAGGTCCTTCTGAAGAGGCTGAGGTCCTTCTGAAGAGGCTGAGGTCCTTCTGAGGAGGCTGAGGTCCTTCTGTGGAGGCTGAGGTCCTTCTGAGGAGGCTGAGGTCCTTCTGAGGAGGCTGAGGTCCTTCTGAGGAGGCTGAGGTCCTTCTGAGGAGCCTGAGGTCCTTCTGTGAAGGCTGAGGTCCTTCTGAGGAGCCTGAGGTCCTTCTGAGGGGGCTGAGGTCCGTCTGAGGGGGCTGAGGTCCTTCTGAGGAGGCTGAGGTCCTTCTGAGGAGGCTGAGGTCCTTCTGAGGGGGCTGAGGTCCTTCGGAGTGAGCAGGCCTCTGCTCAGGACCTTTTATGACTCTGTGGTAGCTTCTGCCATTTACTACGCTGCCGTGTGCTGGGCCCCGGGCAGCACAGAGCGGGACAGACACAGACTGAACAAGCTGGTCAGGAGGAGGTGAGGGACAGGAGGCCCCTGGACTCTGTGGAGGAGGTGAGGGACAGGAGGCCCCTGGACTCTGTGGAGGAGGTGAGGGACATGAGGCCCCTGGACTCTGTGGAGGAGGTGAGGGACAGGAGGCCCCTGGACTCTGTGGAGGAGGTGAGGGACATGAGGCCCCTGGACTCTGTGGAGGAGGTGAGGGACATGAGGCCCCTGGACTCTGTGGAGGAGGTGAGGGACAGGAGGCCCCTAGTCAAAGCCACCTCCATCATGAACAACACCTCCCACTGCACATGACTGAGGAGGAGCTGAGGAGCTCCTTCAGTGGAAGACTGAGACACCCTCAGTGTAGGAAGGAGCAGGGCCTTTATCCCCACCGCTGTCAGATCGTACAACAAGTCACTTTAAGTCACTTGCACTTGGACTGGAAAACCTGCAGTACTATTGACACTCTTTCTTTTATTGCCACTTTTTTATGGTGCATAATTGTATATCCTGAACAGACTATAATTTTAACCTTTAAAATGTTTGCCCACTTATGTCTTTTTGCACATTCTGAGTGACTCTGTATTTGCCAAATTTGACATGTAAATTTATCTAGTGTAAGATAAATAAAGTCTATCTTATCTTCACTTTTCTGGCGTTTCTCGCTGGGAGAGGCGGCGAGTGGGGGGGCATTGAGTCCGAGTGGACCATGTTCTCTTCCTCTATCGGCGATTCTGCGGCTCGTAGCTGTGGTCGCAAGGTCTCTGGTGCTGATCCCGGCGGCAACCCCCGAACCCGGTGGTGGACACCGGCAGTAAGGGATGCCGTCAGGCTGAAGAAGGAGTCCTATCGAGCCATGATGGTTCGGGGGACTCCTGAGGCAGCTGTCCAGTACCGGCAGGCCAAACGTGCCGCGGCCCGGGCTGTTGCAGAGGCAAAAACCCGGGACTGGGAGGAGTTCGGAGAGTCCATGGAGCATGACTATCGGTCGGCCTCGAAGAGATTCTGGCAAACCATCCGGCGCCTCAAGAGGGGGAAGCAGTTCTTTGCCAACACCGTGTACGGTGCGGGTGGAGAGCTGCTGACCTCGACTGGGGATATTGTCAGGTGGTTGAAGGAATACGTCGAGGTTCTACTCGGTGGCTGAGTGGATAGCACTCTCGCCTCTCAGCAAGAAGGTCCTGGGTTCAAATCCCGGTCGGACCAGGGCCTTTCTGAGTGGAGTTTGCATGTTCTCCCCGTGTCTGCGTAGGTTTCCTCCGGGTACTCCGGTTTCCCCTACCACTAAAAATATGTACAATAGATCTGGCATGCGCCTCCTGTTCGGCGACCCCGCTCCCATCTCTGTGTGGAGTGAGAGACAAGTGCCCCAAAAAAAATAATAACAATTGTAAACCGCTTT